AAAAGAAAAATAGACATAAGATTGAACGGCCACAACATAAGAGAAAAATTCAGATAATAATAAACACATGAACTCAACCTCACAAGAAATCAGGGCACTGTGAATTAGAACAACAATGAGATATCATATTCTGCTTATCAAACTGGTAAGATAAGACTGATAAAGTCCAGCACCGGCAAGGATGTGAGAAAACATCCTTGGTAGAAATACATATTTGTAATCATGTGGGGATGAAATTTGGAGTTATATATGAAAATTTAAAATGTTTCTACTCTATAACTCAGTAATCTTACTTCTAAGACTTTTTCCAACAACATTTTTGGAGAACAGTTTGGTAGTTATCTACCAAAATTTAAATGCTTATTTCCTTTGACTCAACCATGGCATTCCTAAGTATCTATTCTAAGGTACATGCAAAGATAATCATGGCAGCACTTCTTACAATAGACTTGGAATTACTAAAGGTCTAACAATAGAACAATGGTAGAATAAATTACGAACTATGTAGCCATGAAAAAGAATGGAGTAAATCTATAGATAGTAACCTTGATTATATAATATCATTGCATTAGGCTTAGAAAATCAAGTCACAGAAATTATTGCAATTTGAGTTCAAAAAATACCTGCATGTGCATGTAGAGACATGACTGTATACACATATAAAAAAGGAGACATGGACCAACATGTTAGTGATGATTGCATTCGAGATGGAATTAGATGAACGAAGGAGGATTGTGATTTGGGAGGATTATATTTTATTTCATAGATACAGATGTAGATTTATTTTTAACAGTGCTGGGATTGTGCAAAGGATTGAAGGTAGCCATTTTCCACCCTGCCTGTGCATCTTGTAGAGAGAAGTCAAGGCCCCATCCCAAACCTCCTGAATTAGAAGTTCTACAGGTAACACCCAGACACAGCACATTTTAAACACGCAGATGATTCTGGTGTGCAGCCAAGGTTGAGAAACACTGAGTTAAGGCATTGAGAGGGTAGTAAGTCAGGAAAGCTGATGTGTGTAGATCATTCTTCCACTAAGTTTGACAGATGAACAAAGAAGTGAATTAAATTGTAAAGCCACCAAAGGATCAAGGAAGATGTGAGAAAGTTGTAGGTTGAGCTAAAGAAGTCATGGGGCAGAAAAAATTAAATATGCAAAGAAGGCGAAGGAAAGGGAAAGGAAAAAAGGAACTTAATGTTTCTAGTGAGGACTGAACTTTGATCTTTTTCTCTGCTCCAAAAAAATTCCTTTCTAAGGGGGCCTGGTGAGTCACACCTACAAATGATAAAAACTCAGTAAACAGGTTTTTATGATGTTGTTTACTCCAAACCTAATTCCTGTATAGCATCACGTGAAAGATAGAATACCCTTAAACATTCCTTTCAGCTGATTCCTGGTCTTTTGGACAAAACCTAACTCTTTCAGCAATTGTGAACTTAAGAATTCCTAAATCCACCTATGACTTGCAAGCCCCTGCTTCAAGATGTCCTGCCCTTTTTGGGCCAAACCAATATATGCCCTCCATGTATTGATTTATTATTCTACCTGTAATTTCTGTCTCCCTAAAAATGTATATAAATCAAACTGTAACCCAACCACAGCGAGTCCACTTGTTCAAGGATTCCTGGACGTGGCTCTGGGCCACGGTCCTCAAATTTGGCTCAAAATAAACCTCTTTAAATTATTTTAGAGAGTTTGTCTTCTTTTCCATTAACACTAGACTTTCTGTTACCTGGCAGGCATTTTATATATGCCTTCACCATTATTATTCCTTTTACTGGATTTTTGAGGCATACGTTACTGCGTCCCATTTACAGTGAGTAAGTGAAGCATAGAGAAGCCACATGAATAGCAAGGACCCCAACCCATGCCAACACCCGGGCTCCTTGCTCTGCATCAGGCCTCGAGAAAGGTCTTGGAGGCAGTGAGCAGACATGGGGTCCAGGACACAGTTGGAGGAGTCAGCTTGGAAAAAAGAAGGAACATATCGACTGAAACAGAGATGCAGAATCTGAACAAGAAGAAAATACAAGTAAAAGGGGCCAGAATGTGTCAATTTGCAGAGAAGGAAGAGTGAGAAAACCACCGTGGGGCAGAGAGGGAAGATGCTGAGGCTCACAGAAGACTTTCTTCATCAAGTCAGGAAAGCTGGGCCAAAGGAATTCACTAACAGTGAGTGCCGGTGGCTTTGGGACGACGCCATTTGCTGCACATCGGAGCAGAGAACCAGCCTTGCCCTTCTCACCCAGGGAAATGTGGATTAGCCACTCAACAACCAGTCTGTCACCTGCTGGAAGCCTAGATAAGCTGAAGCTGAGTGGCAACCTCAAGGAGGAAAAGCAAAGCCCCTGTCTTCAAAGAGCTGACAGTCTGGAGTTAGCTAGAGTGATTTTCTTTTTCACTAGCTGTTAAATAATCTGATTAGAACAACTACAGTAAAACGGAGTGATCCTTTGCTTCACAAAGGTCTTATAGAAACATTCATTCTTCCATGTTTCTATAAGATCTCATGTGGCCCAGTGGTTCTAAAAACAAATCGTAGTTGCATTCCTTCATAGACTCCCATGAGTAAAAGCAAATATACCTCAATAATCATAGGAAGTACGTGCAGGTTGTGCACGAAAGATGTATTGACCATTAGCTAAGAAAACCAGGTGGAGTCTAGGGTTTAATCGTACAAGGAAATGTTATTGAATAGGAAGCGTTAGGTTATTATGCCTATGCAGGTGCCTCTGGGCTTCCAATCCAAAAGGATCACCAACACATCCTGGAATTTTCAATGGCTTCCTGAGGCTTGGCAAGTGCCCACTGCTCACTGTGATTTGCCAGTTATTCCAGAGTAGCAATCGAATCCAAAGGGAAAGGTCCAGTCTTCCAATAACTTTCTTTTTTGAAACGCAATAACCTTTGTTTAAAATATTTCCTTGGTGGCCCTCTGGGTTACGTAACAATCAGATGCATTACTAATTAATAGCATCAGCCACTGGCAACTTACTTATTCAGGGATAACTATTTGATTCAGACAGCTGCTACTCTTAGTTTCAGTACTATTTTAGCAAGAGAAAATTTGGTGGTTTTTTGCAAGAGAAAAGGTGGTGATTGTGTGTGGTTTTGTTATTATTAAAAAAAAGTCAGAACAACATAGTTTTTGGCCAATAGAGTGCTGCTAATCCCAGTACTATTAGAAAAGGTAAATTCTGTATTTGTGGAAAACACAAAAGTGCGTGTTATTTAGCCAGCACCCATGTTTATGTATTATATTCATGTGACAGAGAATAAACACAGTACCCTGAAAGTTTTGGTGTTGGTTATTAAGAAAACAAAGCAAAACCTCCCTGGGTCACTATTTTCTTTTGCCCCTTTCTCTCTGACTCCTCCTTCTTCTCAGGGAAGGTGAGATTCAAGTCCCTGGAGCCCCCTCAAATATTGTTAAGCCGCTGTTCACTGTTACTCAGACATAAGGAAAGAAATTTGACACCGAGACACTCAACATCTTGGCTGCAAGAGAAATATCATCTTTGAGGTCATTCGACTTATTAAGACGTTTTTATTACTATCTTGTCTGTTTATTTTGTGGTACAGTCTCAATAGAAGATGTGTGGCCCCGGTCATGCAAAACCCATCTGGGGGGAATCCATTCTTTCTTCTCCATGTCTTCGCTGCATTCCGGCTCCCCCAACTACCTCCGTTATCCTGTAAAACCGGCAGGCTCTGGACATTTTGCATGCTGAAGAAAATCACTGTTTTGCCTCCAGCAAGGAACATAAATGTTGCAACATTGACTCCTCCTCTCATGAAGAAAGAGTGAACAAGTGCACCGAGTTGAGCTTCTTCTCACAGACGCACCGGGCTGCGGACTGGAGCGGAGGCTGCAATCCCCAGACGCCCGTGCTGCGGGCTGGGCTCTCCCCCATTCCCTTCCTGCCTCCCTCGCTCCTTCGCCGTCTTTCTGGATTTTACTGGCTGTTCGTGAAACAGCCGTACACACAACGGCTCTCCACGTCCCCGTGCAGGAAGTGCTCACGGACTGATATGGCAGACTTTGCTTCCCGGCAAAAGTGAGTACCCCGGAGGGCAAAGCCTGCTGCGGGCGGCGTGCGGGCGGGCGCCGTCCGGGGCTGCGGGTTCGAGGCCCGCGTGCGGGAGGGGAGCGAGGTGGCGGCGGGCGCGGGCTGCTTACGGAGACGCCCGCAGGCGGGAAAGCCCCGGCTCTGATCGCGGCCAACCTCGATGTCCCTTCTCAGAACTAAAAATACTCCAAGGTGGTTTACCTCCGCCACCAACAGCACCCCCACAACCCCAGCTTTCACAAATTGCACTGGGCACACATGCGTCTTTTAAAAAGGCATCTTCACATGCACCCTTGAGGATGAGTTTCGGCGTGATTGCGGGATTCTTAGAATGTAAATTATTTACATCAAAAGAAAACAATAGCGGGCAGGGGGAAGGGGACAGGGGATGCGATGACAGCTCCAGGGACTGGAGCGTCTCCCACCAGCGGCAGCGTCGCGGGCGTCTTGTGCGGAAAGTTTAGTGGCAACGTGCGTTGACCCGAAAGGTGTGGCTCCCCCAAAAGGCAGCGGGGGTACCGGGAGGTAAGCAGCCTCCGGGCTGTAACCTGGAGCTGGACCGAGGCAGGTTGACCTAAGCAGAAGAATTGGAGCCAGAGGGGAAGCTGGAAGGAGAACCCGCTGGAGGAGACAGGAGGAGGGAGCCATGGAGGGGAGGTCAGAGGAGGGGAAAGTCAGGCAAACTCTGGTAACTAGAGAGCCGGCACCTGTGGAAGGGGAAAGCTAGAGCCGGAGTTCTGGCTCCTGGAGTAGGAAAATATCCTTTTAGTGACCTCTACCTGTATCCAGGGGAAGCAGCCTACGTTGCCCTAATAACAGGCAACCTAGAGTTTTCAATGATTGGACTTGAAAATGGTTGCAAAACATTATTATTAATATAGAGAGGGATTACTTTGTCTTCATTCATCAAGTTGGCGGGCAAAGATTTCCCACCTGAGTCTCATGCTTCTTGGCCAATGGAGTGCTGCTAATCTCAGTCCCGGCCCTTGGTTTTGCAATCTTGGGCAAGACACTTGCCTCCTCTGGGCCTCAGTTTCTCAGAAAAATTTAGGGAAATTCATTATTTTATATATAAATGTTTAATGGGGTTGAAGTGCTGAATAGTGCAAGAAAGGAGCAGATAAAAATTTAAATTTCATTGGCTCTTAAAAGTTGGGGGTGATAGGTCCTTTTAAGAGTTAGCTCTGAGTCCTCTCCCTTGGGAGGAAATGCTCTTATGGAATAAAATTTTACATGCAATCCCCTGGGGGTTCATGAATACTCCCTGAAGACCATGCCTGAACCCCAGGTGAAAATCCCTTGTCTTTAAGTACCTGCATCAAGGCTGCCCAGCCAAGCCCCCCCAGCCAAGCCCTTGCTGGCAGATGGGCTGACTACGGGAGCAATCCGCAGCCCTCTGAGAGGTCCAGAGTCAGCCATGCTGCTGACCGAGTCAGCCCTCCTGTCGTGGGTGAGCTCCCCAGACAGTCTCTCAATGGCTACACCAGTTACTGCCTCCTAGAGACCCCTCCCCACAATTCTTTTAATGACTTTCCTAAGGTGATGGTCCTTACACCTAGAGTTTTCAATTCTACGAACAGCACTTGAAAGCCACCTAAAGAGAGTCACTGTCTGAATCAGAGTGCTCTTCAAGTCACCTAGTTGGATGTCAGACAGTGGGGCCAAGGCTTTGTTTGGAAATGAAGCACTATTTGCTCCACAAGTCATGGTGTCACTAGGCAATGGTGTTGTTTTGGACCTGTGTACTCTGTCTTTGAGGGACTAGGGACTCATACCTGTCGGGCCGTGGGTCCTCACTGGCAGTGCCAGCAGCAAGATGTAGCAGAAGACACATGGAGCTTTGGAGCCTGGCACACTCCAAATCTTGGCTCCCACACTTAGGCAAGTCACCGAACTTCTCTGACCTTCATTTTTTCTATCTGCAAAATGGGGAACAAAACTGCTCTTTTTTGCACAGATTGTTGGGAGAATGGAAATGCTCTTTGTATCATGCCTGGCCCATGGTCAATGATAAACTATTGTTATTAATATTAATGAAAGGTAAGTGTTCAATAGTCTCATGCTTTTTAGAGCACCTTACTCTCTCTCCTATGGGGCTTACATTAGCAGAAAAATGAGAATCAGAAGTTCTGGTCCAGTTATTCTGACAGAACAGTCGTAGGTGCAGAATAGAGAGTCAGGTTTACTGCTTCAACTGTGCTATGTCAAGCAGCAAGTAATATATGTCCAGGGCATGGATACTCTACCCTTCTCTCAGTTGTCTTTTGACCCATAATCTTGAATGCAAAACAGCTAGATTTCTGCCTTTGCTACAACAGCTTGGCATGGAAACAGGAGAAAGCCTATGGCTGGATCCATCTCTAGATAAGCCAGAAACTGTATCTGTAGAGAGAAATGTCTCCATTGTTATCTTGCACAGCTTGGCGCAGATTTAGCCAACTCAGCTTATACTCTGCTGGTCCCTCAGTTGCAAATAGCCAAATGAGGTAGCAGTGTAGGAAAGAAATACCAGAACCTTAAAAGGAAATTGAAAACCCACACAGCAGCCAAAGATTGATTGGTATATTGTGGCGAGGCATTCTTGCATGCAAAGATGACAATATTGATACCTACTATCCATTGAGTCTTCAAGATATACTAAGCACTTTCACCCATTACCTCAATTAATTCTCATAGTTACACTGAAGAGTATGAGTTATCATTTAAAGCTTTACAGATAAGGAAACTGAGGTTTATAGAAATTTACATAGCTTGTCCTGTCAGCATGGTGCGTAAAAGGCAGAACCAAGATTCAAGCCCAGGCCTGTCTGACTTGGACACTGACTTTTTTCCCGCTTCCCAGTGCTGCCAACCTCCCTGATATCAGAAAGTTACATTATGCCAGCTGGATTAAGATTCTTCTAAAGGATAGGAATAGCCATATCTGGTGGGTGATTTTAAGTGGTGTGAATATACTTTGCTCGTGATGCATATTAACAGGTAGCAACAACAAAATCACTTGTGGGAGAAGAATTTTCCTGATCCTTCCCAACCCCAGCTGTTGGACTCAAGATAGGAATGCCCAACTTCAGCAGATGAGGCTGGCTTTCTGCCACAGACTTCCTGGGTAATCTTTTTAGGTTAGAAAGAGCTCTGGAATTTTCCTTCTCTACCACCTTTAGAACTGGGCACCATTAACATTGACCTCCCTGAATAAAGCATGTATCAATTCTTTATTCAACAAACCCTTGCTGAGCTCTGTGCTGTGCTGGGCACTTGGTGACACAGTGGGGAATAAGGCAGACAGAGCTCCAGCTCTTGCAGAGCTGCTATGCTAGAGAGAGTAACAGATAACAGGGAGGTGAACAAATACATAAATAAGATCATTTCAGACACTGATAAATGCTATGAAGAAAATAAAGAAAAGATGAGGGCTAGAGAATGACAGGGCTTGGGGGCAACTTTAAGTAGGGCAATCAGAGAAGACTTTCATAAGAAGATCACCTAGGAACTTAAACATGCATTAAAAAAAAAAAAAAGGGAGCCAGGAGGTCTGGGGAAAGCACTGTCTTAGCAGAAAAATCTCAAAGGAAAGATCCTGAATTGGAATAAATGAGACAGTAGAGCCTCAAATCTAAAGATAGGCCCTTTAGAAATCAAATTAGGTTTTATATAGGGAGAATTATTGTTTGAATGCCTATTGCACTATTCTAGGCTGTGCTGTATACCTCATACCTATCTTATTTAATCTTACCAACAATCTGATGAGTTAGCTTATTTTTGTCTTGATTTTATAGTTGAAGAAGCGGAGACTCATGGAGGTTAGGGAGCTAGCCCAAGGTTACAAAGCTAGTATTTGAATCTCGTATTCTATTTTGCTCCAAAGCCCACAACTTTTTGCTAACACGGCATGTAGTCTTTGAGATAATCTCTTCTGAGAGTTAGTGAGAGAGCCAGCAGAAGGAAAATATCAAAAGTGTATTAGGTAGCTCAATATTAGCAATGATTCTACATGATATCCCAAATTTCAGTTAGTGCATCTAAACCCACACAGTCCATTATAGTAGGCACTAGCCCATGTGGCCGCTGAGCACTTGACATGTGGCTAGTCCAAACCGAGATGTACTATAAGTGTAAGGTACACCCTAAATTTTAAAGACCTACTATTTCCCTCAGAAGTAAAATATCTCTTAATTTTTGTATTGATTATATGTTAAAATGATAATACTTAGATGGTTTAGATGAAATATATTAAAATTAATTTCACCTATTTCCTTTTAATTTGTTTTAATGTGGCTTAATAGATATTTTTAAATCATGTATATGACTTACATTATATTTCCGTTGAACAGCACTGGTCTAGACTAATAAGTTGGCAAAGATACAATAGGAACTTTTCCCTCTGCTTCGAACCATAACTTTTTCCTATATTCTTGGCTCAGGCTCCTTTACAAGTCTGTCCCCAAATCCATTTATTTGATGAAGCCAAAGAGAAGAGCTGTCCCTCTTCCTTCTCCTTGACCCTCACCCTGCTGGTAAGCAGGTTATAATTTGAAGCCCACTACAAATGTCACTTTTGGACTTGATGAAATAGACTCAGTGGTTACACTCATCACCAAGACTAATCCCTTCACTCAGATAAATCTCAAGAGGTTTCCAAACATCCTGTCACCAAAGGGTCATTTAAAATCTAGATTTAAAGTTTTACCTTTAAATCACCTCCTAGTACAATGCCTTTGTAGTTCTTGGCACTTTGTAAAATCAGGCAAGGATATGCCTAAGGCTTCGTATTTTTGTGTAAAGCTCATTAAATAAGTCATCTCACGCAGTGATAAATGTTTCTCTCTCTCTGTCCTCTTAACTTAAAACCGCTTGAACAAAAAGCAGTCCCCATTTTCAGAAGAGCTACTCCAAGAGCATCACAAAAAGCTACCTTTAGTTTCTTTTGTCCACTTGCTAAAGTGGCCCCCAAATATGTCAACGAAATAAAGATATAAGTTCTTCCTGCA